CGAGTCCGTCCCCGCCACCGTCGGAGCAGCCGCACCGCGGCCGCCCCCGCTGCGCCGGAGCAGCCGTGCGCGCCAGCCCCCCGATCGCTTGTCCGTGCGCTGGGGTGGTGTGACCTATTCTCCGTAGTGAAGACGACCGCAGTCGTCTTGGGGGGAGATGGTGTGTTGTCGTGTGTTTCTGGCGCACGAGCGCACCCGTGCCGCCGCCCCGGCTCGTGCCCGAGTCCTGAGTGCGCCCGTGCCGCCGCCGCCCGCCCCGGTCCGTAGCTGAGTGCGCCTGTGCCGCCGCCAGCTGATTGGGCCCGCCGGTCGACAAGACTGGCGCGGATAGGCAGAGACGACGCACGCCATTACGTTTTGTTTACTTCGTGATTAACGTAACGACTCAGGAAAGAGTTCTCGGAATAAATCTCGTTTAACTCATTAGATACAACTCTTTCATTCGAACCGACCGAAACACAACACCCAGCCAGTGGCGACACGTTCCTGGTGAGGTCAACCCAGCTGATGACTGCTCTCGCGGGCTAACGGCCTCTGCGCTCACTAAGGACAGCCGTTGGATCCGTGGGCCCGATTTCCTGTGGAGGCCAGAAACCTGCTGGCCGGCTGGTAGTGAGCAGCATAAGCTACCTGATGAGGATCCTGAAGTTAGAGTGGTGTTAGCTACTCAACACAAAGCCAGAGAGACAACCGCGGTCATTCCTGACCCAGAGCGATTCTCAAGCTGGCTGCGCTACAGGCGTGTAGTCGGCTGGACGCAGCGATTCCTGATCAACTTCGTGGCATCTCACTCGTTCGAAGATCGCCAGAACGACTTGAGAAGTGGTCCACTGTCGGCTGATGAGCTGCAAGACGCGCAGAATCTTGTCATTCGGGAGGTGCAGCGTGGGGCGTTCACTCAAGAGCTTGCAGCGCTGAGAAGCGGAAGGTCCATCAGCACGAGTAGCTGTCTACTTATGCTCTCTCCAGTTCTTGATGAAGACGGCCTGCTTCGAGTCGGTGGGCGGCTGGTGAACGCCCCTCTGCCTGAGTCCGCCCGCCATCCGGTCATCCTGCCGCGGGACAGCCGCGTGACAGCTCTGATCGTGAAGGACGTCCACCAGAAGCTACTGCACGCCGGAGTCGAGCAGACACTGAACGATCTGCGACAGCTGTTCTGGATACCCAGAGGGAGAGCAATGGTGAGGAGAGTCCTGCACAGCTGTCCGGTGTGTCGCCGGCGCCGCGCAAAACCGTGCCAGCCGAAGATGGCAGATCTGCCCCAGGCGCGGTTCGACACGCGGCACGTGTTCAGCAGCGTCGGTCTCGATTTTTTTGGTCCTATGCTCGTCAAGACGGGAGGACGGCATGAGAAGAGGTACGGACTGTTGGTGACGTGCCTCGCCACCCGGGCAGTGCACCTCGAGCTGTGCCACTCGCTCAGCACCGACAGCTTCCTCATGGCGTTCCGCAGATTCGTCTCAAGGCGAGGCAGACCGAAAGAGGTGTTCTCTGATAACGGGACGAATCTGCGAGCAGGAGAGAGGGAGATGCGTCGGCAGATCCAAGCATGGAACGTCCACGCCATCAGTGACCGCCTCGCACAAGATGGCATTAAGTGGCATTTTAACCCGCCAGGTGCGTGTCACATGGGAGGCGCCTGGGAGCGGCTAATATCCTCCGTTAAGCGTGCTCTGAGAGCAGTGCTGAGCCAGCTGACTGTCACGGACGAAGCGCTACAGACCGTGCTGACAGAAGTTGAGGCGGTGGTCAACGGTCGACCTCTGACCCATGTGTCCACAGAAGTGGATGATTTGGAGGCGATTACGCCGAACCATCTTCTGCTCGGCCGACGGGTAACTTGTCTGCCACCTGGCGTCTTCGACAACGGCGAGTCTGCGAGCAGGAGGATCTGGCGACAAACACAAGCTCTGACAGACCAGTTCTGGACCAGATGGCTGAAGGAATATGTCCCCAGCCTGACCTGTCGCCGCAAGTGGACAAGAGACATGCGGAACTTGGCGCCCGGCGACCTGGTTTTGATCGCAGAAGATAACGTGCCGCAGGGTCAGTGGCCCCTCGGCAGAGTGATCGAAGTGATGCCCGTCCCTGACGGCCGGGTGAGGTCAGCTCGTCTGCGCGCTCGTGGTGGTACAGTGCACCGACCGGCCACCAAGATATGCCTTCTCGAGGAGGCGAGATAACTGCTGACGGTGTCCAGTGATACCGGCGTCTCACGCGCGCGTGCTCGTGGAGGGGGGAGGATGTTCTGTCCGAACAAAGTCCATATTAGAACGATGGCGCGAGACAAAAGGCGCATGAAAAATGAAATGTGTTACACTGATGAAGAATGTGAAGAAAATGATAACGGGAAAAAAAGGAATTTGAAATTTGGCTCAAAACTTGGTTCATTGTGGTATTGTTATTGCTTTGGCTCGACGAATGAATGAAAATGTTTGCTTGCGTTTCCGTTTTTTCTTGATGAGAAAGATCCGGCACTTTTGTTTAATGTTGCAGACACAACAGTTGGTTTGTATTAAAGTCTGTAGATCACTAGAAGTCATCTCGAAGGTCAAATTGTTATCACAGACACGATAAAAAATTGCAAAAGCTTGTGATGAGCATGTCGCGAAAAATAATCGATAGCTCTTAATGTCCAGGCATTTTTCCCTCAAGTTGACTAAGTTGCATAAGTTATCTAAGTCTAATTTGTTTAAGCTGTCCAAGTCTAAGAACAAGTTGCCTAAAATGCAGAGATGGCTAGATCGTTGTTGTGGAACAATAATGTATGGTAATTTTAACGGGCTCAGTTTCAAGTCCACAAACGACAAAACAGTGCAATTCAAATCTTTATATCTATATTTCGCAATATCTATATTTCACATGCGAAATATAGATATAAAGATTTGAATTGCACTGTTTTGTCGTTTGTGGACTTGAAACAATGTCTTCTTACCCAAGGCTATAGAACTCCAGGTAAGGACACCAGCCGTTTGACCTTGAACGCCGCCGGCCGGCCGATGACGTCATTGGAGGCAAGCCGGCTCGGCGGACACACAAGGCGAATGCATAACGGAGGGGCGTTGGAACGTTGCGGGAGCCGGGGAGATATTTTAATGTGGTTGTATACCACCATTGTTATGTTTATTGATCTACAGACTGCATTCTTTTAAACCTCGATGCACTCTAGGCCTGGATGGTTCGTACATTCGTGGAACGATCACCCCGTCCGAAGTCCGTGGTCGAAGCTGTCATAGTATTAAAGACACTAAGACGGGTGCAATAACGGCGATCCGATCCCGTCTCTGGCGAATCTAGAGGGGTCGTAAGGACCCAGGCCGAATCTGACCGTCTATTTTTAGGGAAACGGGGTGGGTGAATTGACAACCGATGGCTTAAGAGATAATGAGAAGAGATCCCGTCGTCGATTGTTGTTTGACAGACAACACATGTTGTACTGGACGTATGACCATCAGAGGTAATGCCTGAACGTAGGCAAGCATAATTGTTCTGTCATACTGTTTAGGAATATAAAATGGTAATGGAGATTATTGAGGATATGATCTCTACATTACAGGAATTCGCTAATTACTACGGCCCATAGGGGCACCGCCGGAGCTGTTGTTTTGCCATCGGTCCCAGGCAACTCCAGGGAGCTGCAGTACCCGGCGGCCAAAGCGGCCCACCTCGTCGACTCGCAGGTCCTGTGGGATTCCTTGATGCTTTAGTGCTTCACCCACAGAAGCACGGGCATAGCAGTAGGATGTGGGGCTAGGTGTCTGTCCACCTCTTCATTGAAAGAACAACGTATACAGCGCCTGGTCCCGCCGAAGCTCGGTATCGACCGTGACTTATTCACAACTGGCGGATCCAGGAAGCGGTCTTGGACACTGCGGGGGCTTACCCTAAAAAGGTTTCTCGGAATTAATTAAAAAAAACTCTGATTTCGATTCCTTGCGCACTGCTGTGCAGTGTGATAAACCAACATTTCCTCAGAAAAGTTGTGAAGTTTTCTTTGATTCTCGAAAAGCGATTTCGGGCGCTGCCAATGTGGGGGAAGACATTTGCCCCAAATGCCTTCCCCTGGATCCGCCAGTGGGTTGCCCCACTCCGAGCTTGACTAAAACCATTTTCAAACCCCACCAGAAACCGATGGTAAGGTGAATTTAAATCCAATAACTCATCTCTGTCTGCCCGCCTAAATATGTATACAACACATGGTACGGCACCCGGCCCTGTCTGAGCTATGAGCCGATCGCGATATTTTCGGCTTTCCCCAACCCAAGCTCGATTAGGAACGTTCTCCTTCCCCACCCGATTGCTGATGTCAATTCAAATTCAATACCTCATCTCTGTCGGCCCGACCATAACCCATTCATTGCACACCGTTCAGCGCCCCGCCCCGCCAGAAGTATCCTAGCGCGCTGAGCAGTTGCCTCCAGCCGCGTCATCGCGAGGCCCCGCGCGGCCCATAAATTAATACATTGCGCGAATAGCCGTGTCGCCCCCCTGTTCTTACCAATAACGGGCTCAGCTCAGACCTAGGTCGTTGTTTTACACCGTAACCTTTACATGTGATATTTTTATGATCAAAGGCATTACCATCGACCCTACTAAAAAGTCATATTTTTCAGTTGTTAAACGCATTTTCACTCAATTTGAAAGCATTCTGGTCCCCTCGTTTTTCTAAGTTACCCAAGAAACTATTACAGACAGATTCAGATATCCTCATCAAAATCGTCCTACCTCTCTGCCGTCCAACACAGGTTCCACCGCCTGTGAGCGGGACCAGCCAGCGCACTGTGCCGTCTGTGCCACCACTTCTACGTCTGGACCGTCCTCTGGGCCCCCACACTCACCGCTGCAATCGGTGCATGGGCTATGGCCGCTGCATGGCAGTCCGGCATTTCAATATCTGACTGACCCTCCATGAGGTTTTCACTTGTACCAAGCGACATATTAGGCCTTGCACTGCATCGTTATGTACATAAGATGTACATAATACATTAACCGCTGCAAGGCCCACCCGTTTCACATGCATTAGTGTTAGTGAACTCACCGGACCATGCGGCAAACCTGTTAACCAGCCGGTAGACTGCTGTGGCACATTCAAGGTCGATTTCCGGGCATGACTCTGGCCTGTCGCTTTCACTGTCGAAGTCAGTTGGCGTTCTGCCTCCCCACCGCTCGCTTGGTGTCGGTGAAAGTCTCGATCCGCTTCACACCAGGTAAGTGATGATAATTGCTGGTCATTGTGATTTTATCAAATCATCAAATTGTGATATTAGGTTAATATTGGCATGCGTGACATTTTTTTCTCTTCATGGCATGCATGCATAATCATATTCCTTAATTAGGTACACAAAGAGCTTTGGACCATCTGCTTCACAGTCGCCAGGTGCAATTAGCCGAATTTACTTTAGTATTTTTATCTTTAGTGTTTCAGGATCATTTACTTGTACGTTGGCTTACATTGTAGATAACTGCGTTTCTTTTGCCTTGTAGATTAATCACAATTACACCCACTGTGGTGCGCAAATGTTACTAAATATTGATGCGTTCTCTTCCCTAACTCAATATACCCTGTTCTCGTCTGGCAGAATCCCATGTGCGGGAGATGATGAAGATAAATCTCTAACAAATCCATCCATATTCCAGGGTTATACGTAGCACCCGCTTGCTACGTCTAACCATCGTTCATCGTAACAGAAACCAGTCTGAACAATGGAGATCTCGCTGTCTGGGAAGCGTGTTCTGATCACCGGCGCCGGCCGAGGGATCGGCCGAGCCTTGGCGATCCGTGTGGTCGCCTGCGGGGGTCACGCGATCGCCCTGTCCCGGACCCAGGAGCACCTGGACACCCTGAAGGCCGAGTGTCCCTCGGTGGAGACGGTGGCCTGCGACCTCAGCGACTGGGAGGCGACGCGATCGGCAGTTGAGGCTCTGGGACCCGTCGACTGTCTCGTCAACAACGCCGGAATAATGGTCGTTGAACCTTTTCTTGAGGCTCGTAAGGAAAGTTTCGACATCATTTTCGACGTGAACTTGAAAGCCACTTTTAACGTATCGCAGGTGATCGCGCGCGGAATGGTAGCTCGTGGCCAGGGAGGCGTCATCATCAACATGTCTTCCCAGCTGGGCAAAACGACGAGGCCGGGATTCGCCTTCTACTGCTCCTCGAAGGCGGCGCTGGATCACCTGACGCGCGTCATGACGCTCGAGCTGGGACCCAAGGGGATTCGCGTCAACTGTGTCAGTCCGGCACTGGTGGAGACGGACATGACAAAGTTCGTGTGGTCGGACCCGGCCAGAGCGGAGGCCGCGGTGGCTGCGGTCCCCATGGGGCGGTTGGCCACCATAGAGGATGTGGTGAACGCGACCTTGTTCCTGCTCAGTGAGAATGCTGCTCACATCAGCGGGGTGTCGCTGCCCGTGGACGGAGGAGCGTACGCCCGCTAAATGAGCGTGATCTTGCTGGGTGATCTCAGAGGTAATCGGTGACTCCTGAGAGTGCTGATTGACTCATAATCGATTTTCAGGTGTATCAGACTACCTACAACGTAAACACTGAGTAGTAGGTATAAAGGTTGAACAGGTTGCATTACGTCTTTCAGATATTTGCACTTGTTCTTATTTTATGGAAACTGAGAAGGTGCATCCCAACATTGTATCTCGTATGGGAAATCGTGTGCAGTACGGATTTACAGAGTGGCGAGGTTTCGGTGCATGTAACTACTATGGACTTCCTTCGGATATGTTCCAATAGATCGCTGACATAAGGCGATCTATTGGATTTGTTGATTTTGAATAATGAAGCTTTACGGATGCGAAGTCTCTCTGACACGTGATGTTGAAATAAGACTCGGATCTTTGCAAGGCTGATGTATCGGCGTGCCAACATTTTGTGACCGGGCAGTATGAGCACAGCGTATGAACAGTGGCAGGGCTCTAAAAAGTAGACTTCCGAACTTGTTCTGAACATAACTGGATGACAGTAACTGATGCCCTAGAGCGAAATCGCTTCAGCAAGGTCAGGGTATACTGACCAGCATTTGTTGAATTTACGAGTAACTGTTGGTATGCACGCTGAGAAGAAGTGAGAACTATATTAAATATAGTAAGATTTGTACGTAGTTTTCCATCACGGTAATGCTCCGTGGTTTGCATGCGTTATTAGACGTGTGATATTCAATAAAAATAAATATTGTAGGTATTTACCTAAAAGAACGCGTACAGTTTAAGCGGATTTGTGTGTGTGTTTTTTTTTTAGAAACATGGTATAATTGAAGTACAGTGACAAGTAGCCTTTATGGCTGGTATGTTTTATTCTGCGAAGGTTTGGAGTTCGACGGTGTTAAAGTCACCTCTATAAGTGAATAAATCTAAATCATGGCATCAACATGAAATAGGCGAGCTGAAACGAAGTGACGATCATTTTCACTTTGCTCGACAGATAGGTACCGCTCAGCCGTATAACTATATAGACTGAAAAATCCATCAACCGATCTCTCCTTTCCTCCATCTCTGTGCCACTCTGTGAATGTACATTGTACGTACACTGGCGGATCCAGGGTTTCAGCGCGGGGGGGGGGCATACCAGGTCACGGAGCCAAACCTAGGGTACCCCCAAATCCTGTTTTCTCATCGGATTTAGGCCAATTATTTTTCGTCATAGCCCTGACACGAGTTTTTTCTTAAAAAAAAAAATAGTAGGACACCTGACCCCATTGGCAGATCCAGGAGGAGGAGGCTTTTGGGACAAAAACCCGGGCAGCGCCAGAAATCGACGAGAATTGGTGGGGCCGGTGGGGCCCTCAGAATGACTGGTGTGTAGAGCCGACCCAAGGGCCGCTGGTGTGGAACCTTAAGAGGTACTGGCGTGGGACCATCAAAGGTATCGGTGTGGGTTCCCCAGAGGCAGTGGTGTGGGGCCCTCAGAGGCACTGGTGCAGAAACCACAAAGGAGCCGGTGTGGGCCCTCTTAGGTGCTGGTGTGAGGCCCTCACATGGACGCCGTTGTGGTGCCTCAGACACTGGTGTGGCGCTAAGCCCACACCATTCACAGATGGCTGTGTGTGGGGCCCTTGGAGTTGTTGGTGCGAAATGCGAATGCTTAATAACCCAGTAGGGCCTCTCAGAGACCGACAAAGGGCCCTCAGAGGCCGGTGACGGGCCGTATGATGCCAACAATGGGCCTTCACAGGCCGGCAAGTGAGGGCCTGCAGTATCTTCAGGAGCCCTGTGGAGTCCTTAGAGATCGGCATGGTACTCTCAGACGCCGGTGGGGCCCTCGGAGTCACCGGTGTAGGACCTACAGAGTTACCGGTGGCTGGCTGCCAGAGACACTGGTGTGGGGCCCCAGAGGCGCCGGTGTGGGACGCTCAGAGTCGCCGATGTGGGGCCTCAGGAGACACTGGTGTCTCAGAGGTGGCGGTGTAGGGCCCTCAGACGTGTCTGTGTGGTGCCCTCACAGTCGCCGGTGAAGACTTTCAAAGGCATCGTTGTGGGAGTCTTTACTTCTCAGAGACACAGGCATGGGGGCAAAGGGTCTTCGAGAGGCCAGCGAGGGGTGGATGGAGGCCTTCAGGAGCACTGTGGGATCCTGGAGACCGGCGTGGTACTCTCAGGCGTCGCTGGGAGCCCTCAGAGTCACCAGTGTGGGGCCCACAGAGTTGCAGGTAGGTAGCCGTCAGATGCGCTTGTGTAAGACCTTCAGAGGCGCCAGTGTGGGGCCCTCAGAGCCGCCGCCGATGTAGGACCTTAAGAAACATTGGTGTTAGTCCCTCAGATTGGCGGTGTTGGGCCCTCAAAGGCGCCGGTGTGAGACCCTCACGGCTCACAGACGCCGTTATGGGCCCTCAGAGACACTAGTGTGGAGCCGTTCCATGCGGGTATGAGCAAGGACCATAATTAGCGCTGACGCTTAATAGGTTAGCAAGGTCACTCAGAGGCCAGCACAGGGCCCTCAGAAGCCGGAGTGGGGCCCTTATGGAGATGTGTGATGTGTGGCGACTCAGGAGCCCGTGACTCCGTGGGGTGCTCTCACGAGTCCTGCGGGTCTTATCTCAGTCGAAATAAGGCACGCTTGGAACCTGAGCGGCCAATTGGCACTGCAGGGCCTCTCGGGCCCATAGGGCACCATGCATCTAATGAGGCGGCACGCACCCCTTGTGCCCCCCCCCCCCCCCACCGGTTACGCTGCACTGGCTGCGGCCATACAGCTAAACCATATTCTAACCGTCCCTATTCCCAAGCATAGGCGGCGGCCGATTCCTGGTTTGCGCAATATGAGTGCCATCGTTAGACAACGGTTAAAAGGGTTGAAGCGGCATGACTCCCCTGTGGTAAGAACTAAGAAGCAACATATTTTTAGACAAAATAAAGCAATGACAACCAAATTGAGGTTACTAAAACGTCTCGGATCACAAAAGTAGTTACTAGGAAGGCTTCCTAATCCATTTTTATTTAGTTCCTCGTTATAGGCGTAAGAAGTGTAAGTCTGAACGGGGGGGGGCATACTTGCACTGAATGCCCTCCCCAGGCTCCTGACGGAGGGGGCATATGCCCCTAATGCCCCCCCCCCCTGGATCCGCCAGTGTGTACGTACGTTCACATTCTGTGCCCGCTACTGTCCCCTCCAGTGCCTATATATAGCGTGTTATTTTATTTCTACAGTGCTCTCAATACAGAACTCACAACAGGCACATGTTCAGGCGGCGGAACGATTTGAGACAAGGGGGGGCACCATGTCTCAAGGAGCCAAACCTAGGGTACCCCCAAATCCTGTTTTCTCATCGGATTTAGGCCACTTATTTTTCGTCACAGCCCTGACACGATGATTTTATCTACTTTTTTTACTAAACGAAAACGGCAGTTCACCCCCGTATGCAGGGGTGTAATTTTATATCTCTTTGTGGGGGCATATGCACCCACAATCCTGAATTATGCCCCCACAATGATGAAAATGCACCCACAAGTCTCTTACAAGGCTGCAAGCGTCCTTTCGAGAGCACGGTGCCCTTCGCATGCTCTAACGGCGTCCTCCTGACCGTCTCGCGTTCTTGGATAATATAGCGTTTTTAATCACTCGGCGCCCTTCTGGGAGAATGGCGCACTTTTGACAGCACCGCGCCATTCTCATGGTCTAACGGCGCCCTCCTGACCGTCTCGCGTCCTTAGGTTTCTGTTCACCGTGCATCCCTCGACTGTTCGGCGCCCTTCTGGCCTCTCAGCGCCCCTGAACCACATAGCGTTTTCAATCGCTCGGCGCCCTTTTACGAGAATGGCGCCCTTTTCATGATCTCATGGCGCCCTCGTAACCATCTGGCGCCCCCACGTCCCCACCAACGTAGCACTACTGACTGTGCGGCGCCCTTCTGGCCTCTTAGCGCCCCTGGACCTCATAGCGTTTTCAATCACTCGGCGCCCTCCTAAGAGAATGACGCCCTTTTCATCGTCTCACGGCGCCCTCGGAAACGTCTGGCGCCTCCACATTTGGTGCCCCTCCTACTGGATGGCGCCTCTCTACATCTTTTTTTTACGTCCTTCCGGTCAGTTTCCACTTTTAAGCGTGTATTTGTTTAGTCAGACACGTCACTTGAAGCGCCCTTCGGCTAGCAATGTTATCAAATTCGGTGTTAATTTAGGCTCCCACATGAAGAATATCCATCGCGTCCCAAACCGGCCTGGCGCCGGGCGCCCCTACAGCTGGGCACCCACAATCATTTTAGGAAAATTACACCCTTGCTATGTGTGGTTAACTTTAAGCTGATCCTCCTCAAGTACCTATGTGTTTGTCTCTTCCTTATTGTCGTTTGATAAATTCCATTTATCCTACATGTATCAAATTCCCAAGAAGCCATCGCAGTACTAATCAGTGGCGAATCCCAGGGGGGAGGTCACATGGGTCATGACTTAGGGCCTGGGGTCACCACATGCCTGCCAGGAGCACCACAGGCCTGACAGCCGAAAGGGGAACCACAGGCCCGCCAGGGGTACCACAGGCCTAGCAGGGGCACCACGGGCCTTTCAGTGGCACCACAGGCCTGTCAGGAGCACCATCGGCCTAGCAAAAGCACTACAGGTCTTCCAGGGGCACCACAGACCTGCCAGTGGCACCAGAGGCCTGCCAGGGGCACTATCTGCTTCGCAGGGGAACCACCGGCCTCGCAAGGGCACCATGGGCCTGTCAAGGGCACCACAAGCCTGTCGCTGGCACTTTAGGATTGTCAGGGGCACCACAAACCTGTCAAGGGCACCTGCGTTCTAACAAGGGCACCACGGGCTCGCCAGGGGCACCACAGACCTGCCAAGGCCCAGGGACACCACAGGCCTAGCAAGGACACCACAGGCCTAGCAAGGACACCACAGGCCTGTCAGGGGCACCACGGGCCTGTCAGGGCCCATGGGCACCTAAGTCATGTCAGGGCCCACCGTAGGCTTGTCAGGGGGCAGGGTAGGTAGGTACCACAGTCTTTCCAGGGGCACCAGCGGCCTAGCAGGGGCACCAGTCATCACACGACTAACCAAAAATAAAGAAAATAAAAAATGAAAATAGGGCACCACCAAAATTAAGTGGCCGAAATCCGTTGAGGTTTTAATTTTGGGTATAGGTAGGGGCACCACTTCGATTCATGACCCTCCCCTTGGAGTTTTCCCGAATCCGCCCCTGGTACTAATACATCAAATTTAAGGGGGGGCACCTTGCTATTGGTGCCCCCCTTGCAGAATTCAAGGGGGGGCACGGTGCCCCGGTGCCCCCCCCCGTTCCGCCGCCTATGCATGTTCTGGCCGGAGAGAGCAGGTAGACTGGACTGGTGACGGGAAGAGAGAGAGAGAGAGAGAGAGAGAGAGAGAGAGAGAGAGAGAGAGAGAGAGAGAGAGAGAGAGAGAGAGAGAGAGAGAGAGAGAGAGAGAGAGAGAGAGAGAGAGAGAGAGAGAGAGAGAGAGAGAGAGAGAGAGAGTCGCATAGCTTTCTCTCGGTCAACCCGCATTCCGCATCCATCAATTCATGACGGATGCAGTGGTAGCTCCTACGAGTACAGTGGTAGTTACCGCATTTAGTAGATTGGAGGTTATAGTACAAACCTCTTCCCGCATCGGGCCCCACTGTGCAGTGCACCGTACTGGCAGTCGCCTAGCGGCGGACTACGGAACTAGCCGTGGGTTGACAGTCGTGCCGTCAGATGGCGGTAGGCTCGCGGAGTAACTGACCGGTCCACTGCACGATAGGACCGCGGCCGGAATTAGCGCGACATTGGTGGATTTGGCGACCTTTCCCAAATTGAGTTAAACTGTGTCACGTAGTTCAGAAATGTCCATGGACCACGAATCTGCAAATATTTTTCGTCCATAGTGTACAGCGTCCGCGCCACATCAGCCCAAACACAAAGTTTTGTGCCAAGCATCGTAGACCCGTTTTCGTACGGAGAAAAATAGCAGCTAATGTAGGTAAAAAATATATCTATTAGACGGCTTTATCAATATTTTCGACGTCTAAC